CTGATTACACCCCACTTTGGCTATGGGGGTGTGTCAGAATATTATTCTTATGTTCTAGCCTGTAGTGGGGTGCTCTATAGCGAGTACAACCCTTCTAGGGTTTGCTATTTGTATCCCCATTTCTGCTAGTTCATCCCTCTTTCTTACTTCTAATTTTGTCAATAACTACATGAAATTCCCGCCAAAATTGAGCCTGATTCTGGTTTTTCCCACTCGCGTCATAATAAATTGACGAATCCTGAAGCAGAAATCTCTGACACACTCTCAGAACTTCTGACACAGCTTTCCGAAATTCTGACACACTTTCCAGAATCCTGACACACTTTCCGATTTTCAAGCGAATTGCAAAAACGTAAGTTTTGTGAAAACTAATTGTTTTACATAGCTGATATTCTGGCGCTCTATCTGCAAACTGTTTGTAATTTATTCTGTCGTACATCCGGGGCAAACAAATCTATACCCCTTTCAGATGGGAAATAAATCTGAGAGCAACAACCTTTAACTCCTTGCGACCAGGCGTTTATGGTTCTTTATAAAAAAAATGAAACATGCAATTTTAAAGATGTGTATTTTCCCCACATGCGAAAATTCTTAAACGTTGCAGAAATAAAATGTAAAAGCCCGGAGGTCCTTTCGGGAAATATAACATGCAATTTTAAAGAGGTGTATTTTTCCCACATGCGAAAATTCTCCAATGTTGCAGAAATAAAAAGTAAAAGCCCCGAGGTCCTTACAAGAAATTTGTTTTCTGTCGTTTTGCAAGTTCGCAATCATGCTATCAAAAATATGATTTAAACCTTTTTTGTATGAGCTACACATATATACATATAACTGCTCTGAAACTTTTCGGTCCGTGGTAATATAGCAACCGGGGTCCTTCAAATTCGCGGCGGGACTTGCTGAGGTTGATAGTACTGTGCGTAAATGCTTTCAAACTCGATAAATTCTTCTTTGTCAGAATAATTTCGGCGGGAATTTCATGTAGTTACCATTCGCGTGATGGGCTGCTAGTGTAGAGTTACCAAATGCGTTAAGCGAGTTACGAAACGTGTTAAGCGAGTTACCGAACGCGTTAAGCGAGTTACCAAACGCGTTGAAATCGTTACCGAACGCGTTGAAATCGTTACCGTACGCGTTTTAGTGCCCCATGTAAGTTACCATTGACATATTTTCCCCCAAACTATCGCTTTGTGGATTTAGGGGGCCTATGGATTGGGATGCTTTCATTAGCTTGCTTTGAAACGTTACCTATAGGTTTCCGTACTGCTATCTCCTGTCCTAAGCACAGCACGATCGTAGTACTAGCGAGCGATTTCATGTGTTATTATCTAAACGTTTATTGTCCTTCGCATCATTGCCATGAGGCCATCAGTGGCAGCAGTCGACTGGGTGGAGGACGAGTGGTCCGCGGCGCCGTGCGAGTCGTCGCAGCCAGCCTCCACCGCTGCACCCGCCGCCTCGCCGCTTACCCTAACCGCTCCGCCCAAGCGTCTCAATTCGCTCGCCTCCACGTTTCTTCCCGCCGCCATCTTCGCGCGTCCTTCGCCCCCGGCCGTCTCGCGGCTCCTCGCCGATGGGGCTGCGGCGGCTGGCGGCGACGGCGACGGCGAGGAGTGCGAGGGTGAGGGCGGGCCGTACGCGGCGTGGGAGGATGACGGGGAGGGGGGGGACGACGAGGGTAACGACGGGCGTGCGGAGGCAGGCGGGGCCGGGGAAGGCGGCGTGGGGTCGGCGCTGCTGGCGTGGGGTCGCAACCTCTTTCACCGCCCTCCGCCCGCGTCCCTCTCGCCGCCCTCCACGCTTCTCCAGCCGCTCACTTCCCTCGAAGCGCGAGCCCCCTCCTCCTTCCGCCCGCATGCCGCCACCATCGGCAGCAGCGCCGGCAGCAGCGCGGACGGCGCCCGCTCTCTCGCCGGCAAGCTCTGGGGGGCGTTGGCTCCTCGCTCCACACACGCGCACCTGCTCAGTGACGTCAGCAGTGGTAGCGCCAACATCAGCAGCGCGCCTCTTCACAGTTCGGGAGGGGCAACGCGCGGAGCTCCGCGAAACGGCGCGCGCGGCTCGGGCATGGCGGCCGAGTCGTTCGAGTCTGCGCGTTCTGCTCGCGAGCACGCTGCGGGCGCACCAGGGGGAACTAGGGGGAGGGGCAACTGGTCGGCGGGAGGGGGGACGCTGAGCGCTGTGGGCGCGCAGGGCAGCAGGGAGGGGTTGGGGGGGATGGCGTGTGGTGGTGAGGGTGGTGGGGATGGCGGACGCGCAGGGGCGGTGGGACGAGGCGGGGATGGGCATGGGGCGCAGGGGGGCGGGGGGCAGGGGTGGGCGCACAAGGTGTTGGAGGTGCTGCCTGTGCTGGCCGTGGTGACGCTCATGGTCTTCGGTACCGTCGCCTACCTCACCGTTGTTGACGCCAGTGAGCCCCCACCCTCCCTCCCTCCCTCCCTCCCTCCCTCCCTGCGCAGCTCGCCTGCTTCCTCTCTGCCGCACTCCCTGCTCCATTCTTACCCCATCTGCCTGCTTCCTCTCTGCCGCACCCTCTGCTCTCTCCTCATCGTTTCTTGCGTCCCACAATCGCTACAGCTTCGCTCTCTCACCCGTGTCTCCCTCCGTGTCCCTGCATCCTTCCCCCCGCCCCTCCCTCCTTGCACCAGTCCTGCCGCGCCTGCGCCCGGCCTTCTCCCTGGCGTGTCCGCTGCAGCAGGGCCACTGGGCGCTCTCCTCGCGCCGCCCGCTCTACCCACCCTCCTGCCCCTTCCTCCGGGACGACTTCAACTGCGCCAAGTTCGGCCTGTCAGCGCGTGACACGTGGCGCTGGGAGCCATCGCAGTGCCAGGTGGCGGAGTTCTCAGCGGGGGCGTGGCTGCGGGGCATGGCGGGGCGGCGAGTGGCGTATGTGGGCGACAGGGCCGTGGCCAACGCCTTTGACTCGCTGCTCTGCATGCTCGCCCAGGCCGACTCCCCCACGCCCCTCTCTCCCGCCTCGCCCCACCGTGGCCTCTCCGCAACCAGTGACCCTTCCCTGCCTGTCACGGGCGAGAGGAGGGGGATAGGTGGCAGCGGCGGCAGGCAGGGGGAGAGCGTGAGGGCGGCTGCTGATGGGCGTGTGTTCATTGGCGCCCTCGACGCCCCCGGTGCTGCCCCAGATCTCCCCCATGCCACCTCGGGTGCTCCCCATGCCGCCTCAGATGCCCCCCCTGCCGCCCTGCATGCAGACCTTGCTGCCACTCCACGCGCAGCACTGCACGCGAGGGCGAGGGGCAGAGGGGGCGCAGGCAGTGAGGTGAGGCGGGGCGGGGCGAGGCACAGCGATGGCGGGTGGGGCTGGAACTCCATCAGGTGGGGCGCGTGGTCGCGGCAGGGCAGCAGGCAGCGCGTGGGAGCAGCTGATGATGCCAGCAGTAGTGTCGATGCCACGGGGGACAGCGGCACGACCAGCCACGGTGGCTCCTCGCCTGCTGCTGCAGCATCGGTGTCGTCGGGCCTGTTTGACATGCAGCCGCTGCACTACTGGTTTCCCCGTTTCAACTTCACTCTCGCGCTGCTTCCGTCGCCCTTCCTTGTGAGGACGTCCCTGCATGCGCCAGTCAACGCCACTCTCTGCCAGCTGCAACGCGCTGCTGCCGCCACGCCACTCAACGGTTCCACTCTCAACAGCACCACTGGTAGCAGCACCAGCAGCAGCAGCAGCACCACCAGCAGTGGGGCACCTGCAAGTGAGGCGGCAGAGCATGCAGCAGCCGCGCCACCAGCTGATTCAAGCAGCGGTAAGGAGGAGGGGGCGGCAGGCGGCGATGTGTGCTACCCGAACCGCATGTATGTGGATGAGCCCGATCCCGCATGGGCGGAGCAGGCGGCACAGTTCGATGTGCTGGTGCTGGCGTCGGGGCGCAGCTGGACAGAGGAGGCGGTGGAGACCAACGGGCTCAGCATTGTGGCGGGCGGGGTGCGGCGCAGTGAGCTGAGTGTGGAGGGGCTGGTGGGGCAGTGGGCGTACCCGCTCGCCATGCAGGCCGTGGCGTCGTGGCTGGGCAACGCGTCGCACTTCAATGGCACCGCGGTGTTTCGGTCGTTCAGCCCCACGCACCCCCGCAAGGAGTGTGCCGCCCGCACCTTCCTCCCCGATGCTGTAAGACTCTCCCTTGCACGCCCTTGCTGCTTGCCTTGCCCCCTTTCCTGCTCTGCTCTGCTGTGCTCTGCTCTACTCTTTCTGCTCTCTCTGTCCCCATATTGCCATTCCACTGATATCGTGCACCCAATTGCCCTCCCCCCTACCTGCATGGCCATTTGCACAGGAGCATGCGGCGGACGTGATGGAGGAGGCACGGCGCTACGATGATGCCGTGGCGCATGCCATCGCCAAGGCTCAGGACACCTCCCACACCACCCCCACCACCACCACCACTGCAGCAGCGGGTGCAGCACCAGGGGCGTGGGCAGCAGCGGGGCATGTGGGTGCGAGGCTGCACTGGATGAACGTGTCGCTGCTCACAGCACAGCGTGCCGATGCCCACCCGTGGATGGCATCGCCTGGGCGCCCCACTGCGGACTGCACCAGCTGGTGCCTGCCTGGCGTGCCCGACACGTGGAACGAGCTGCTCGCTGCCACGCTGCTCAAACTGTTCGAACGCCACTGACACTGACTGACGGCAGCGCCGCTTGTGAACACACTTGTGGTTGCAAGTGCCACGTGTGCTTGTACCGTACAACAACCTGCAACGCATCTGTCGGTTTAGTTATGATTGTGCTTCACTGGTTTGTTATGATTGTGCTTCACTGGTTTGTTGTTTGTTGTGAACTAGCTTAGGGTTGTTCCGCATGTCATAGAGCTACATTGGTTGTCATGTCACACTATGGAACTGCCTTTGGCAACATTATTGCACCTCAATCGACATGCCACATGGTCAAGGTTCATCAGCCTAACACAAGACAGCACACAGAACGATTACTACCGTATGCTGCAGATACAACAGCTCTGGGCCCTTGGGGGCTCGGGTCGGGGTTTGTCAAGAGCGCAGGGCTTCGAGGGGCGGCTTGTCCATCCAGCGGAAGCGGCAGCCACTCTCCTCCAGGTCCGCCAGCAGCTGGGGCGAGAGCAGCGGCCGCCATGCCTGCAGCAGCTTCACCTTCTTCAGCCCCACACAGCGCGTGAGTGCGGCCTCAAGGCCCGGCATGGAGAGGCGCGAGCAGTGCACTAGGTTGAACTTGGTCATGCACGCCATGCCCGCCATCGCCCCCAGGCCCGCATCCGATATGCTCGTGTACGACAGATTCGCCTGTTGGTGGGTGAGGAGGGGGTGCAAGGGGGGAAATGAGGTGGGACAAGTGGCAGTGTGGAGAACGCACGAGGTGGGATGCAGGCAAGGAAAAGGGCGGAGGGGGGAATGCACGAGTAGGAAGGAGTGGGGGGAGCAGGAAGGACCTGTCGGAGGTCGGGGCAGCCGTGGGCGAGGGCAATGAAGCCAGCATCGTCCACGCCCGTGCACTGCTTCACATCCACCTCCTGCAACTCCCTGCACCCCCACACCCGCCCCCCCGCCCCTCCCGCCTCCTGCTGCACGCCACCCTGCACGTCGCTTGTTGCCTGAGGTGCCGGGGCGGGTGGCAGAAGGCCGGCAATGGCGAGGAGGCCAGCGCTGGTGAGGAGAGGCGCGTCGCGCACCTCGAGGTTGCGCAGGCGGGGGCAGTGGCGCGCTATGGCTATGAGCGCGGCGTCTCGCACGCGGTGGCAGTAGGAGAGGTTGAGCGTGCTCAGCCCCGTGCATGCCTGCGCCACCGCTGCTATGCCCGCACATGACACCCCCTCACAACTGCACGGGCGAAGGGGTGGGAGTGGGAAGGAGGGAGCAGCGGGGTACAAGTTATGTGTGGCTGGTGGTGGCGGTGTGGGGTTGAGAGCATGTTTGTGGATTATGGTATGACATGGCTTACTGGGAGGTTACATGTGTGAACTGCCACAGAATGTCTTGCGATAATAGAGTGCTCTCGCATCACAGGGAATGGGCTGGGAGCGCACCGGTAGAGGTCGAGTTCAGTGAGGGAGGAGCAGGAGGCAGCGAGGGAGATGAGGCCGGCATCGGTGATATCCATGTCGAAGCCCAGCTTCAGTGACTGCAGCAATGGGCAGTGCCGCATGCCCTGCACAGCTGGTTAAAGCATGGGGGAGCACATAACACGTGGAGCACAGTGAGTGGGGCGCAGTGAAAGAATCACAGTGAGTTTAGGAGCAACGAGCAGAGAACAACTGAGCATGCCCCCGCCTCCCACATGCCCCCAACGCCCCTTTGCCGCCCACATGCAACACACTGCCCTTCCCCCTCTTCCCCCAGCCATGGCACAGCATGGACCGGCAGGGCAGGTCACGCACTGGTGTCGGAGATGCCGCAGTCGGTGAGGTCGAGGGTGGAGAGCGCAGTGCAGTGCTGGAACAGCCCCACCAGCCCCGCGTCTGACACGCCCCGACACGCCTCCATGCGCACACACGCCAGCCGCCTGCCAGCAGGGACACGTGCATGCACACACATACATATGCAGACACACACCATGATCCCTTGCATTGCATATCCAGTGCACCGTTCTGCATTGCCCACTGGCCAGCGCTCCTACTCACATGTGGCCCACGTGGCTTGCAACAGCTGGCCGCAGATGAGCCAGTCAATGGGAACGGTGGATGCATGCAAGCAGAGAGAGCGGACCTGCAGTGGGCGGAGAGGGCGAGCAGGGAGGCGTCGGTGACAGAGGAGCAGCAGGTGATGTCGAGGGAGAGCAGGTTGGGGCACGCTGCCGCCAGTGCTGTGAGGCCCTCGTCCCCCACCGCCTCACACCGCCTCACTGATACCTCCTCCAGCTGCCAGCACCCCAACGCCGCCCACCTCCCCACCCCCATCCCCACCCCCACCTGCGGTGCTGCCTGCCCTGCAGCGCTGAGCCCATGCGCTGCTCCTACCGCCGTGGCATGGCCGTGGCCTGCTGCGGCTGAGTCCTTCGCTCCCTCTGCTGCTGCATGCGCCCCGCCTGCTGCTGCTCTCTGCTCGTTCGCTAACACCCCCTCCTCTACTGCCGCTGCAGCTGCTGCTCCTCCTGCTTCTGGCATGCTAGTTTCGGAAGGAGGGGCAGCAGCGGCAGCGGGAGCGGGAGCGGGGGCAGGAGGAGAGGAGGCACCAGCGAGGTCAGAGAGGCCGGCGTCAGTGATGGGGGCGAGGTCCAGCTTGAGACGACGCAGCGCGGGGAAGCGCGGCAACACCGCCAACAGGTTGTCACTCACCTGCCGGTCGCAGGGGAGTGGCATGGGGGCGAGGAGATGGGGGGGGAGTGCAGATGAGCAGCACATGGCAGTGAGCACTGAATGCATGTGCTGATGAGTATCCACGCTCGAACCCTCTGCCAGCATGCCCATATGCAGCATGCATAACGTGCAAATTCACTGGAGCCTTGCCTTTACGAGCCTTGTTTTTACTGCGCTATTTGTTGACCAGTCTTCTGAAACCTTGCTATCGCGAGCACTTGCCTGGGGGCAGAAGGCGGCGGTGAGGGCGGTGAGCGGGATGGCACCCGCTGTGAGCGCCATCAGGCCAACGTCCGTCACCTGCTCGCACCCAGATACGTCCAAACTCTGCCGCCCAGGGAAAGAAAAAAGGGGAGGCGATTGTGAGACGGGTGAGAAGGGAGGCGGATTGGGATGGAACATTCATGTAAGTGCATCTACGCGCGACTAGGTGCATCTACGTGAGGTATCACCTGCCTGCCTACATGCCCTGTATGTCACCTGCAGTGCGGTGCATCCGTGGCGGAGAGTGGCGATGGCGGGGTCGGTGAGCGACTGGCAGCTGGAGAGGTTGAGATGCGTCAAGCTGGGGTGCCGCTGCACCACCCTCATTGCCGCCTCCGTCACCTGCCCGCCAGTGGAGGGGGTGGTGAGCGTGGGGAGGGGAGACGATATTGGAGAGAACTGCAGAGAGAAAGGAAGAGAACGAAGAAGTGGGCACAAGGGCAGTGATGGAATGTCGGAGGCAGGGAGAGAGGGTGGTGGGGATTGGGAAAGAGCGTGGCTTGCCTTGGTGTAGGAGAGGTCGAGAGTGTGGATGGCGTGGCAGTTGGAGAGCAGCACGTCCACGCCACGGTCAGTGATGCCCACACACCACCGCAGCGACACCTCCTGCACCGCCTTGCACCCCGCTGCAATGCAGCACACCCCCATGTCTGTTATGCTGCGACAGTTGCCCAACCCCAACACCTGCCGTTCTCCATGCCGTCATGCCGTCATGCCACATTCCAAGCATGGCGTTACGCAATGCCATACAACAGGGGCGGGGGAGAGCGGAGGAGTGGTGAGAGGCGCTCTAGGTATGCATGCATCACTGCTCTGGGCGAAGAGGAGGAAGGGGAGAGGAGGAGAGGAGGGGAGGAGGTAAGGGGAGGAGCGGAAGAGGAGGGTCAGGAGGCGCGGGAGAGCGTACCTTGAGTTGGTGGCAGGAGGCGATGGGCATGAGAGCAGCGTCGTCGAAGGTGCCGTTGGTGAGCCAGAGGGCCTGCAGCTGCGTGCAGTGCGCGCCGATGGCCTCCAACGCCGCCTGCCCGATCCGCTTGTTGCTCGCCAGGTTCAGCCGCTGCAGGCTCGGCCCGAACCTCTTTGCGATGGCCACCACGTGCTCGTCGCGAACCTGCAGGCACGGCGCGTTAGGGTCGGAAAACTCTACTCGGAGACCGAGGATAAAAGGCGCGTGGAAAGCGAAGGGCTTGAGGCAAGGAGCGGATTAAGAATCAGAGCAACAGGCGTCGTGTAGTGGCGCAGGCGTAATGGCGGCGAACGAACGCGCGATGCGCTAGTGGTGCAGGGGGCCGTGAAGGGCGCGCCGCGCATGCGACTGCGATCGATCAACAGGGACTCGGTGGCGAGTGGTTCTACGGGTAACGACACGTGTCATACTCGGATGCACTTGGAGCAGTTGAGATCCTGAATCAACGGACAGCACGCGAGGATGGCTTTTAGCGCGCCGACGTTCAGGATGGTGCAGTGCGTGTACGCGCCGCGAATTACGGCGAGCCATCGCTTGCACACGAGCGCCGCCGCCAGCTTGTCGGAGCGGCAGTCGAGGCGGCGCAGCACGCTGAACAGCAGATCGTCCTCCAATGCGCTCAGCTCGCCGCCTCGCCCTGCCGGCGCGCGCCGGCCGCCATCCATCGCGCGCTGCTGCGGACAGCGAAGGGCGGCGGCGAAGATGCAGACGGACTGCGAGGTTCTTCCGGAGCCCGCAGATGCACGTGCGTTGAGGTCTGACTGTCAGTTGTGGCGGGCGGGTAAATGCCGAGGAAGGCACATGTACCTGACCGCCAGATGAATCCAACCTGCCTGGAATCTCCCTCCCTGCGAAGTTCGGCGTTTGGACCTGATATTACCAGACCATACCAAACTTTTGTAGAAATAAACCACGCTACATCCATCCATGCAGAAAAGGGAAACTTGCGGATGACTAAGGGTGGGCTGGTATATATATATATATATATATATATATATATATATATATATATATATATATATATATATATATATATATATATATATATATATATATATATATATATATATATATATATATATATATATATATATATATATATATATATATATATATATATATATATATATATATATATATATATATATATATATATATATATATATATATATATATATATATATATATATATATATATCTAGTTAGTGCTTCGAATGAGTTTCTCTTTAGGAGCTTCAAATCACCACACCGTGTTCGCAACATCTTCGCCGTCGTGAATTCGGTAAAACGTGGTTCAAATCGCGAGGGGCGCATTCAATCACGACGGGCACTCCTTCCTATCACGAGCCTTCGTCTGCACGGCCAATTCTGCCCGATCTCACTTGCCTCGTCGGCCTCGCGGCGCGATTACTTGAAAGCTCGCGAGTCGTCAATTTCATCCTGCTGATGGGCATCTCTTGGCGCTAGCGCGCACGCGGCGCAACGAATTCACGCAACGAGCGCCGACCGCAGGATCGGCGATGGAGGGGGGGATGGCGGAGGCCACGGGTGGCGGCGACTGGCGGGCGCTGTTGGAGGCGGCGTGCGCGGATGGTAGGCGCGGCGGGGAGCAGGAGGCGGCGCGGAGGCAACTGCAGGCCCTGGTGCGCGGCGGCCACGTGGCGCTGAGCGACGTGGTGGGCGGCATGGGACCGCACCTCACCACCGCCGACGGCGCGCTTCGAGCCAGAGGTGCGCTCCGAGCCAGAGGTGCGCTCCGAGCCAGAGGTGCGCTCCGAGCCAGAGGTGCGCGGCCCCGTGTCGCGCACCCCACCCGCACGCACTCGCCTTCCATCCACGCACACCCTCTTCCTCCCGCTCTTCCCGCCCGCCCTCCTCCCTTCCCCACACGCCACCCTCCATGATCCCCCTGCTTCTCTTCCGCATCCGCCTCACCCCCCTCTCCCCCCAGGCACGGCGCTGCTAGTGGCGCTGGTGGAGGCCATGCTCAATGCTCGCCGTGCCGCTGCCACCGCGGCACCGCCCACAATCGCCCCTCCCTGCGCCCCGCCCCCCCTTCCCCTCCCCCCCCCAGGCACGGCGCTGCTAGCGGCGCTGGTGGAGGCCATGCTCGCAGTGCCGCTGCCACCGCCCACACTCGCCACTCTCGCGCGCTACTTCGCTCTCCGCATGGTGCGCCCCATCCCGCCCCGTCCCCACTGCCAGGCGCCACACCCTTCCCAACAGCAACTGCTGCGCCCATTGCCTTGTGTTGTCGCCACGTGCAGTGCTCGCTTGCACTCCTCTCGTTCTCCTGCTCATCTGTCGCCCACCCCCCACTTGCTCATTCCTCCCCTCCTCTTTCTCCCGTCCATCTCATCTTTATTCGCCCCCTCCCTCCCGGGCCCCCTCTGCCCCACCTGCTCACCCGCCAGGCGGACTGGCCGTGTGTGAGGGGGGCGCTGGCGGGGGCGCTGGCGCTTCTGCAGAGGGGGGAGGGGGTGGGCGCAGTGGCGGGGGGGGACGCGGGGAGCATGGCAGCAGCGGTGGTGGAGGTGCACGTGCAGGCGCTGCCCCAGGCTGACCGGATGGTGAGGGGTGGGGGATGGGGGGTGGGGTGGGGAGTAAGGGAAGGCAGGTGGATGGTGGCCGGGGACTTGACTGATGGGAGGGAAGGTGGGAGCATGGGGAGGGGATGCATGCTGGCATGTGTGCGAGGGGAGGGCAGTGTGTAGTCTGTCTGTTCTTGGAAGCCCCAACTTCTCTCCCACCCACCCACCCGTCCGTCCATCTCTGCCTTTGAACCCATCATTTGCCCCTCCTCCATCCCGCCACCCACCCGTCCATCTCTGCCTACCCTTCCCCTTTCCCCCGCCCGCCCCACCCCCCCAGCTCGCCCTGCAAGTGCTGCGCGCCCTCCTGGAGCGCCACCTGGCAGCGGCTCCCTCCCAAGCACAGAAGGGCGTGGGAAAGCGAGCGGAGAAGGGGGGGGTGCAGTGGGCGGGGCTAGCGGGGGGAGTGGTGGCGGTGGTGGATGGGGAGAAGGACCCGCGCTGCCTGCTGCAGGCGCTGCGCATCGTGGCGCTGCTGGTGGGAGCTCTGCACCGGGAGGGCGGTAGCGCTGCTGTGGGCGCCGTGGCGGAGGACCTCTTTGATGTCGTCTCTGCTTACTTCCCCGTCTCCTTCTCCCCTGTAAGGCTTGTCTCCTTGCTATCCGCACACACACGGCGTCTGATCTGATCCTGTTTTCTTGCTCTGCACGTCAGATGTTTTAGAACGCCCCGCACTCACCCTCGCCATCATGCCATCAAGCCGTTGTGCCTCTCCCCTTCACTCCTCCCCCTTGCAGCCGCCCAATGACCCGCGGGGAATCACACGAGAGGACCTTGTTCAGGCGCTGCTGGTGAGTCCTTGCTGCACCCTTCAACCCTTCAGCCCTTGCTGTTCCAACACCTCTCTCACCTCCCTCTCACCACCCACCATTCTTCGCCTGTCTCTATTCTGCCCTGTGTGCATTCCAGTGCATGCGCTCCTGCACCTCTCCCTCCCTCCCACATGTCGCTACCCGCTCTGCCCGCGTGCCCCCCGTGCAGGGCGCCTTCCAGAGCACGCCGCTATTCGCCGACATGGCCATCCCACTGCTCCTAGACAAGCTCTCCTCCTCGTTCACCACTGCCAAGGTCCGCCTCTTGCCTCACCTGCTCTTGCCTCTCGCTTTCAATTTCACCTTTTCATTGGCCTGCCATTTGTTTTTTGAGTCCCAGATGCAATGTCTCGTATCTATACTCCTCCCTTCCTACCTCCCTCCCTTCCTCCTCCCTCCCTCCCGTCCTTCCTACCAAGGGTGATTGACACTTGTCTTTCTGGCACCTTCCCCATTCTTCTGCTGTCCCTCGCCCCTCTCGCCCCGTCAGCTGGACTCCCTGCGTTTCCTCACTGCCTGTGCCACCGCCTGGGGACCCCATGCCATCGCCCCCCACGCACCCGCCATCTGGCACGCCCTCATACCCCTCCTCCCCGCACTGCACGCCCCAGCATCGCTCAGCACCTCTCCCACGCCCTCGCCCTCCGCACCGTCGGGCAGTGACCCAGAGATGTCAGCAGCGGCGGTGCAGTGTGTGGTGGCGTGCGTGAGAGCCACTCTGCCGCGCAGCAGCAGCAGCAGTGAGGGGGGAAGCGCCATCGGGGGTGAGCCCGCACACCCCTCCGTGCTGGCCGTGCTGTTAGAGGATGCGCGCGTGCTGCACGTGGGGGGGCTGCTCGCACAGGGCGGGCGGGAGAAGAGGGAGGGATGGGGAGAGGCAAGGGAAGAAGGGACGGCAGGGGTGGCAGGGATGGCAGGGAGAGTGAGGGCAGCAGGTGAGCTGCTGGCCTCTGTGGCCCACGTGTCCGCCTCTGCCTCCTCTGCCGTCTCTGCTGCCCTCCTTCCGCCCCTCCTGCGCCTGCTGCTGCCCCCTTCCGCCCACGGGCAGGGGGAGGGAGGCTCGAATGCTGGAAGAGGGGAGAAGGAGGGTGGGGAGGGGGGGGAGAGTGAGATGTGCAGAGCAGTGCAGAGGGAACTGATGCAGCCACGTGGCATGATGGCATTGGATGTGCTTGTGAGCCTTATCCGAGCTGCAAGGGACGTGGCACAAGAGGAGTGGGAGCAAGAAGCGGGCGATGGGAAGCGCGGGACAGAAGGAGGCAATGAGGGGGAGAGAGGGAAAGGAGGGGAGGCGAGGAGAGGGGGGGAGAGGAGAGGGGCGATGAGGCCAGGGGCGGCAGGGTGGGGGGAGAGGGCAGATGTGACGGTGGTGGCGGAGAGGGAGCGCCTTGTGCTGCTCTTGCGCTCCGCGCTCGCCCTTGCAGTGGCCGGGGACAGCCATGGTGCAGAGGAGGGGCAGGGGAGCAGCCGTGGGGCGAGAGAGCAGCGCAGCACGGCCCAGTGTGAGGAAGCAGCAGCACTTGGAGGTGCGTGGGCTGCTTGCCTCGTGTGTGCTGCCACTGCTGCATGCATCACCGTTGTCCCTGCCTATCTCTCGCCTGCCTATCTCTCGCCTGCCTATCTCTCGCCTGCCTATCTCTCGCCTGCCTATCTCTCGCCTGCCTATCTCTCGCCTGCCTATCTCTCGCCTGCCTCTTCGCTTGCCTCTTCTGCACTGCATTTAAACCCGCTGCTCCGCTTCAGCTCCTCTCTGTCACTTCCTCCTTCCCTCCACCCACCGTTTCACACTCTCCTGAGTCTCCTCTCACTTCACGTCGCATTTCTCTTTTTCCTCGATAACATCCTCTGTGTCCCCTCCTCTCTTTCCCCTCCTGTTCCTCCCCTCTGCCCATCCCGCGCCAGTGGCTGGGTTGGAGTGCCTGGTGTCTTTCCCGCCGTCCTTCTCCCCTCTCTCCCCCGCCCTCCTCTCTCGTGCTGCTGCTCTCATCACGCATTCGCTCATCCACCTGCCGCTCCCCCCTGCCCACCATGCCACTACCACCACCGCCGCCGTCACTGCCACCACCACCCACTCTTCCACTGCCCACACCACGGCACCGCAGCACCCTAGTAAGACCAGCAGCACCGCCCGTGCCTCCCTCCTCGCCACTCCAATAGCCCCCGCCAGCTCTCCCTCATCGCACCCACAGCCATTCTCCCCGCCCCTCCCGCCCCCCACGCCTCCACTCGCCCGCTGCCTGGTGCGCGCCCTCTCCTGCCTTGCCCGCGCCGAGGCCAGGTGGGGGAGCGCAGAGAGGGGCGAGGGGGGCGAGGGGGGCGAGGGGGACGAGGGGGACGAGGGGGGCGAGGAGGAAGACGGAGGGAGAGCAGGACGAGAGGGCAGTGGTGGTGGAAGCGGTGAGGGTGATGGGAGTGGGGACGAGGAGGACAGTGTGAGTGTGAGGGAGGTGGTGCTGCCGCTGCTGGCAGTAGTGGGGGAGGAGGTGATGGGGGGGCGCTCTGTGGGGGCGGAGGATACAAGTGGCGGGGAAGCGGAGGAGGCAGGGGCGGAAAGGGAGAGCACGGAGGGGGGGGACGCAGGGCGGGTGATGGTGTGTGGGGAGGCGCTGGCAGCGGTGGCGGGGGGGGTGGCAGCAGCACGGCACGTGGTGTTGCCTGCCCTCTCTGGCCTCGCCCTCCGCGCCTGCACTGCCCACCCCATCGTACAGCTCTCCGCCCTACTCCTGCCAGCCCTTGCTAAACCATCACGCGTGTGATGCATGTGCTGCTTCGCTTATGGGAGTTCTGAAAAGCAATTTCGGCTTGCTGTGGATCCGTTTTCCCGCTTCTTCTCTCCTCACCAATTGCTCGTACCTTTGCTTGCATCCATGTACCCCATCCATGTACCCCATCCATGTACCCCATCCATGTACCCCATCCATGTACCCCATCCATGTACCCCATCCACGTCTTTTCGCTGTCACTGCCCTCCACCTCCCTCCTCGTGTCCACACCCCTGCAGCCAGGGTGTCAGCACGAGCCAATCATCGCACTGCTTCAGATCCTCTCCTCTCGCCTCCTTCCCTTGTAAGCCCTCCCTCGTTGCTTTCGCACGTCAGCCTCGTCACTCCCTGCCCACCGTTTCACACACCTGTGCTGCTCGAGTCTGCTTCCACAGCTAGGTCCACTGTATCGCTGATGCGTGTGTGCCGCCAGTGCAAGTGAACGACGTGCTCACTCCTCTTTCACACCCCACAACCCCCATCACCCCGTGCCACCAGGTGTGACGGCACCCGCCCCTCTGATTCCTCCTTTCTCTGCGATCATGCCACGGCTCTCTTCCGTGCTTTCACCCACCGCCCCTCCTCCCCCGACTTTCCCCCCTCCACCTCACCCACTCTGCCAACCTCTACTGAAGCCGCCCTGCTCGCAGCAGCATGTGCCACACTCACTGCTGCCGCCCACCGCTGCTCCCATTCTGATAAACTCGCCCTCCTCTCCTCCCTCGCCCCTCGCTTGCGCCTCCTCACACCCTCCTCCACTTCTTCTTCCTCCTCCACACCATCGTCCACGCACCCTGCGCCCACACGCACACCGCTCGCCACCGCCCTTCCCATGCGCACTGAGGAGCCTCTGAATCGCCTCACAGCCGCTCTGCTGGTGGCCCTGCGCCCATCGTTACTCGCTGCAGACGCCACTCACTCCACTCAGTTCACGCTCTCAGCAACTCAGGAAAAAGAGGCCAAATCACAGAGAGAGCACACGGAAGGAAAGGAGGGCGCCAGTGGTGCGGCAGGCGTCGACCACATGGCTCTGCTGCAACGCATCTTGCGCCACCTCTCCCTCATTGCCACGTCACCGCCCACTCTCGTGTCTGCTGATTCAGCAGAGGCTGCCAGCGTGGCGGTGGCCTCGCTCGTCAATAAGTGGCCCAAGGAGGGGAGGAAGCTTCCAGGAAGCAGTGCAGTGTGGTCCGTAGATGAGTTGCTGGAGGTTGTTCTGGGGGAGGTGCTGGGGGTTAAAGCGGATGGAGAGGTGGAGGCGGAGGGAGGGGGGGAAGTGAGGGCAAGCGGGTGGGAGGGGCAGGAGGGAGTGAGGCGGGTGCGGTTGCTGGCATGGGTGGGGTGGGCGGTGGCGGCGAGAGGGCATGCGAGCATGGCACGGGTGGCTCATGCTCTCCTGCACGCTGCCGTGGGGGAGAGGGGGGCGGCGGACGGTGGGGAGGGGCTGGAGGGTGGTGCACGGGAGAACGGAGAGGAGGGTGAGGGAGACGTGGGAGGTGCGGAAGGGGGGAGCGAGGCAGCAGTGAGTGCAGTGGGGTTGGCAGCAGCGGAGGGGTTTGGAGTGGTGATGGGGCAGGATGTGCAGTGGCTGACCTCCCACTGCCACTGTGTGTGCCGCCCGCTCTACCAGCAGCGCTTCCTCTCCGCCTTCCTGCCCGCCCTCGCTTCCTCCCTCCCCAACATGCCACCTTCCCCAACCTCCCAGGCCCGCAGGTGTGCTCCCATGCTCGCACGCGCACCTGCCTCCCTGCTGCTCTCTGCTCTCATCGTCCTGTATACTCATCACTGCTGCAACCTGCACTCGCATCCCACCCTTCGTCTTCCCTTTCACAACATTTCCTCTCCTTTCCCAGCACTCATTGTTCTCCCCTCTCCCCGTTTCGTCTGCTTCGTTACCCACTCCCCTCCCAGAGCCCAGTGTCTCCGAGCATTCACTCACACCGTCGCCAACGCCCCGCCTGCAGCTCTGCTCCTCTCCGCCCCGCAGGTCGGCTCATTCCTGTATACCCGGCACATGTCCGAATCCCATACTGCTCCCCTGCTCCGTTGTTCCCATGCCCACAGCACATACCCCACTGCCCGCTCCTCACTACCTTGCTGCCCCTCCCTGTCAACCCCCCCATTCTCTCCGCCCCTGCGCCCATCAGGTGCTGCCGCTGCTGCTCTTGGCACTCGCGTCCCTCTCACCCCACCGCATCGACTCTGATCGCCTGCACTCACTGCTGCTGCTGCTCGCCTCCTTCGCCACCTCGCAGGCCACCGGTGTGTGCAGTTCTTGGGGCTGTGCCTGTACTTGGGGGCAGCAGGCCGGTGCTGCATGGCACATGGCACATGGCACATGGCACATGGCAGGAATCTGCATGCATCCCACTGGAGCGTACTGGGTTAGGTGGACATGATACAGTGAGAGTGGATGTCGTGCCATGAAAGATTATCTCTTCCACCTTTGAGTAGCTCTCTTCATTTTGTAGCCCCTTTTCCACAGTCCTACTCACATTGCTCTCGCTCTCATCCCCGATCCCCCATCCACCATCCGCCCTTCCTCATCCATCTTCCCTCATCCCTCATCCTTCATCCACCACCCCATCAGCACGGGACCTGTGTGGGCAGCACCTCACCACCATCGTCACCACCCTCCTCGCCCTCGCCTCCTATCCCCACTCCATGGTGTGTTGCCCACTCCACGCTCCGTTACCCTGCCCATGTAATCGTGTCCCGTGGTTGTGTGCCGTATAGACGCATGCCCATGTAAAGCATACTGCTGCACCTCACCGTGCCTTGGAACCCTGCTGCGCAAGTCCCCTCTATCCACTTCTCCTCATTTCTCTCCCCAAATCCTCACGCCACTCATGCCAGCCTGCACTCTGCCCTTCCATTCAATTCTTTATGCTCCCCTTTCCACCAACTCACTTCCCCAATTGCCCGCCATTCGCCAGGAGGTTCGGGAGACGGCAGTGCAGAGCCTTACAGCGCTGGCAGCGCTACCACACACACAAGTGTTTCCGCATCGTGCCAAGGTAAGTGCGTGGGAGGGGGGATGTGAAGTGGGCTTGCTGTGGGAGGGAGTAGACGCTCAGCAACAGTAAGAGCTCCATACAGCGTTGAGGATTTTTTAGGGTTAAGAGCATACCTGAGATATGAGATGTGAAGGGTAGGAATGGGGGGTGCCGCAACGTGGTTGGTCTCATCATTACCTTCTGCCATGCTCCCTACCCCAACGGCCCATCCAGGTGCTGAGAGCAATGGACGGGTGTCTGGATGATCCCAAGCGGGCTGTGCGCCATGCCGCTGTCATGTGCAAAACCACTTGGTGCGTTGCACTGCGTGACTTGCTGCTTGATAATGTTTTCGGTATTTGTGGTCCCTCTGATGTGCTGTGCAGTGTTGTTCCTCTGTTTCTTCATTTCAACTTTCCTGTTTGTTTGTGTGTTACGTGTCTTCTTCTATTGTGCAGGTCGGGATTGAGATGATGGTCAATGTATGGGTATGTTGTTTGCAATCGCCCCCACCCACATTGGTATTTTGAGCAAAACCAAACAGGGGCTTAGGTAATTTAGATTAGGCTTTTATCTTTTGTGAAGCGTTCCAATATAGCACTACCATCTCTTTAGCTCTAACGGCTCGTCGAGTTTTCAGTAAGGCGTACGTCAGAGGAAACCCCAGCCGTTCATTCCTTTCCCGAGCATTCGCTTTCTTCCCGACTCGTCCTATCCCGAGCAGACCACGCCCTCCGCAGCCTCCCTCCACCTTCGTCGCTGTTCTCGTCACCTCGCCGAAGCGCGTTGCGCCATTCGCATTCCGCCGCGATCGGGTCGGTGTCGCTAGCGCCATGACGGAGGGCCTTCCGCCGCCGCAGAACGCGGTGGATCCGACAGCGGAGCTGGCGGCGGGGGCGGCGGCGCTGGAGGCGGAGCTGCTGGACGTGCTTGACGACAAGGGCCACCCCACGGGCGAGGCGCTTCCGCGGTGAGCCTTGCGCACCGCGCGCTCGCCCGCCGCCTCTTGCTTGCCTGTCCTTCATGCGATCAACGTCCCCATTCCTTCCCGTCCCGTGTCGCGGCGCTGCTAGCGCATCCTTGTCCCACCCCCACCACATTTCGCCGAACCGGCGCGCCTCCCTCCCTCTCCGCGTTCGCCCACTTCCCCCGTTTCCCCCTCGTCCCTGCAGCGGCGAGGTGCACAGGCGCGGGCTGTGGCACCGCGCGGTGCACACGTGGGTGTTCGCGGAGAAGGGCGCGCAGCTGCTGCTGCAGCGGCGCGCGGCGCACAAGGAGTCGTGGGGCGACATGTGGGACGTCTCCAGCGCCGGCCACGTCACCACCGGCTGCTCCTCCCTCCTCACCGCCCAGTGCGCACCGCCTCCCATGCCCGCACCCCATTGCACGCCTGGTTTCCATGCCCCGCTGCGTCCTCGCCTGTGGTCGGCTTGCTGCCCTGCCTCCCAACGCTCACCCCGCTCGCTCCCATCCCCCTCCCCCACCCCTGTGGCTTCGTGGCAGGCGCGAGATGGAGGAGGAGCTGGGGCTGTCACTGCCGGAGTCCGCCTTCCAGTGGCTCTTCCAAGACACCTTCCAATCGTCCGTGCCACACCGCCCAACCCGCCCCTCGTTCTCCCTCTCTGCTTCTTGCGTTTCGCCTCGCGCTGCTGTGCTGTGCTGTGTGCTGCTCCTTCCTGCTTGCTGCTTCCCCATGCTTGCCACTCCACTGTGCATCATCAGCCTGCTCCGCTCCAGTCTGCTACCCCAGCAACGCCTTGCACCTCATTCCGCCTCATCCCACCCAAGTGCACCTGTCCTCCTCTGCGCGTGTGCCCTGCAGGGTGCTAAAGGGAGGCACGTACATAAACAACGAGTTCAGTGACGTCTACCTCATCACCGTACCAGAGCCGCTCCCCCTCTCCGCCTTCACACTGCAAGTACGTGCTCTCCACAAGGAGCATGCAACCTCACAGCCCACCTGCCCCTTCTCTGTACCTCAACTGACCCTTCTCTCCACCTTACCTGCCCCTTTCCTCCACCTAGCGTGTCATCTACTGCACCCCCTGTTGTGCCGACCCTCTCTCACATGCCTGCATGCTGTCCATGCCATCATGCCTGCACCACACACTCTCGCACGCAACCCCCTCTTCTCTGTTCAACCCACTCATACCCGCAATATCCGTACCGTATCCCCCGCCACCAGGAGTCGGAGGTAGCGGAGGTGAAGTGGGTGCCATGGAGGGACTACGAGGCCTCTCTGCGCGCTAAGGACCCTCGCTACGTGCCCTTTGACGTCGAGTCGCCCAATGGCTACCGCCAACTCTTCACACACCTTGAGAAGCTATCTGCCCCCTCTTAGGCTCGTCGGCGGAATCACTTTAGCTGGGGTCTCCATCATATGCTGCGTGATGGGTCAAATATATGCAGGCCTTAGCCTTTTTATCCCAATATTTAAGTGTTGCATTGTATAGTAGTGTTATAATAAGATGGCAAAGCCCGTGTTCACTCCATTTATTCTATCTTTTCCCAGCCATGCTCTCCCGTTCCCGCCAGTTTCTGTTGCCCCTCGATCACATTCTGACCATTACGCGTTCGCCATCACTTGCAAGCAACAGACGCCCAGCCATGGCTTCCGCCAATTGCACCGTCGCCGCCTCATCCCTGCACCTCTCCTGCTCCGCTCGTCAATCCGCGCTCACATCACTCGCGTCCCCCTCGCCCTCTGCGCACCCCGCGGCCATCGCCGCCATCTCCTCCCTCGCCGCGTCTCGCCGAACCGCTTTTCTGCCCGCCCCTGCTCTCACAGCGCCGCGACAACACCGTCCTACGCGCGCCCGACGGGCTGTACGCGTTATGGCGAGTCAAAGTGAGCCCCGCATAGATCAGCCGTGCCGTTGCTCGTGGTCGCACGGAAACGCATTGCTATGTTCCTAAGCGAACGTCCATCTGCTGCGCTCCCATTCGACTCGTGCGTACTATCGACATCGCCACTCCACCGCGCATTACGGCACAAAAGCGATCGCTTTTCGCACGATCTCTCGCGATCGACTCTCTCACGATCATTCCGCGCCTCCCGTGCTGCCTCCGCATCGCCCCTGCCTTTCCCTCCGCGCCCTCCCGTGCAGGCGAAAAGCGCGCGCTCATTTCTGTCTCCGATAAGACGGGACTCGATACGCTCGCCAAGGGGCTGCTGGATCTCGGGTACGCACGAAGCATGGCGACACCGCCTCTTGGTGCGGCGAGGTTCAGGGCTTTTCGCGAACGCGCATGCAAATTCGTGCACGTTCGCTTGTCGCTTCCACGCCCCCTCCACATCCGCTCCCCTTCACGTCAGCATTCGTCCGCTCTCCTTCCTGTTGACTTCCGCATCCCCCCTCTCCCCTCCCCTCCCCTTCCCCACGGCGATCCGCCGGCTGCGAACGTTCCTGGCAGCTTCACGCTGGTGTCGACGGGCGGCACGGCGAAAGCTATTGAGGAGGCGGGGCTGCCCGTGACTACGGTGGATCAGATCACCAACTTTCCTGAAATGGTAGGCATGCCAAATATGGCACTCCCGTGTCGATCCAAATGTGGGCCTTGCCAACGGAGTAAAGAGGCATCATTGCGTTTTCTCCAATGCGGCAACTTTCAGGGTTCTCACGACAGCCATCCCTCCCCTCCCGCTCCTCCACTCGCCTCCCGCGCTCGTTGCTCGAACCACGCCACCACACCACTACCACCGCTCACTCCCCTTCACCGATCACCATCCATCCCACTTCTGTCCTCCCTCCCGTCCGCCCCCTGTCGCCCTCTCACTCGCTGCGTGCGCGCCACGTTTCCTCATCTGCCAGCTGGACGGGCGAGTGAAGACGCTGCACCCGGCGGTGCACGGAGGCATTCTGGCTCGGCGCGGCCTGCCCGCGCACATGGACGCACTTGCTGCCCACAACATCGGTGCGCCCACCCGCCTCTCCCCACCGCTTGCCCCCCCTACCCTCTACCTTGATCTCCCGCACTGCACCATGCCATGCCATGCCATGACATGCCTCTCCCACCCCCAACTCCTTCCCCCACTCCCTTTCCCCTCCCCACCAGGCGCCGTTGACGTAATGGCTGTGAACCTGTACTCGTTTGCGCCTCTCATCCCAGGTGCCCTCCCCTCTCCCCCCCTCTCGCTCTCCCCCCATTTCCACCCCACCCCAGGCCCCATGGACGTGGTTGCAGTGAACCTATACCCGTTCGCGGCCCTCATATGCCCCCTTCGCGGCCCTCATATGCCCCCTTCGCGGCCCTCATATGCCCCCTTCGCGGCCCTCATATGCCCCCTTCGCGGCCCTCATATGCCCCCTTCGCGGCCCTCATATGCCCCCTTCGCGGCCCTCATATGCCCCCTTCGCGGCCCTCATATGCCCCCTTCGCGGCCCTCATATGCCCCCTACGCTTCTCACCTGTCTTCCTGTTCCCCCTCCCTCCTCTCCCTCCCGCACCAGGCCCCATAGACGTGGTGGCGGTGAATCTATACCCGTTTGTGGCGACGGTGACGGCGCAGGGCGGTGCGTCCCTAGAGAAGGGCATTGAGAACATCGACATTGGCGGACCCACCATGATCCGCGCCGCTGCTAAGGTGGGGGAAGGGGTTGGGGTGTACGGGAGTGGGGGGAGCGGGAGGGTAAGGCTAAAGGGATGTTGAGGAGGAATGCAGGAAGTCGTGTAACACCTTCACACACTCACTTATTCGCCTTCTACCCCATGTGCTCATCCCCATCCCCACCCCCCCATTCAGAACCACGAGAACGTGTGGGTGGTGGTGGACCCCGCTGACTATGCGTCACTGCTGGCCGCGCTCAAAGAGGGCAAGGGCAAGGGCGAGGGCGAGAGTGAGGAGGCGTTGAGGAGGCGCCTGGCGTGGAAGGCGTTTGAACACACGGCGTCGTACGATGCTGCCGTGTCCGAGTGGCTGTGGGCGCATGCACAGCCCACGACGGATGGTGCGTGGGGGAGCAATGCGCGCATAGGGCACACTCTTGCTCGTTCCCATGCATGTAGGCCCGTACACACGTGCTGTGGACTGCACACACACACATGCGCGCACACCCCTGGCCATGTATGGAATCAGCTGCACACACCACCATGCCTCACACATGCACACCCTTCACCCTCCGCTCATCTGTCCCCCCCCCTCCCCTGCCCGCTGCAGAGTTCGCCCCGCCACCGGCCCTGGCTGTGCCACTCTCCCTGTCAGCCGTGCTGCGCTACGGCGAGAACCCCCACCAGCGCGCCGCCTTCTATGCCGATGACTCTCTGGGGGAGCGCGGCAAGGGCGGCATTGGCACCGCCGTGCAGCACCATGGCAAGGTGCGTGGAAAGTGGGGGGAGGTGGTGGAGTGGGATGCTTGAGGCAGCGACATGTACACATGTGGGTGGCATTGGCACCGTTGTGCTGCACCATGGCAAGGTGGGGGGAACGGGTAGGGGAGGTGGGCGGGAGGGTGCGTGGCGCAGTGTGGACTCTTCATACTGGAGATGGACGGCCTGGGGGAGTGCGAATGGAAGGAGAGATATTAGGGAGGAGTCTCTTGTTATGCCCTGCAACTGTCACTCACGCACACAGAACTGTACGCTGCACCCCCTGCTGCCCTTCATGACCCATCCGTCGTCTCTCAACCACCACCCACCCTCCACCCCCTTCTTCCCCCCCTTCCAGGAGATGTCATACAACAACTATCTGGACGCGGACGCGGCCTGGCAGTGCGTGTGGGAGATGCCCACAGCAGCCTGCGTGGTCGTCAAGCACACCAACCCCTGCGGCGCCGCCACCGTCACCCTCCCCCCCTCCGCCTCCCCGGAAGAGCAAGAAGCAGCCCTCCTCGAGGCCTACCGTGCCGCAGTCCGCGCCGACCCCGTGAGCGCATTCGGTGGCATCGTGGCCTTCAACCGCCCGGTAACCGCCGCCCTCGCACGCGAGCTGAGGGAGTTTCGATCCCCCACGGACGGCGAGACGCGCATGTTCTACGAGATTGTGGTGGCTCCAGGCTACACGGAGGAGGGCCTGGCGGTGCTGAAGGGGAAGAGCAAGGCGCTGCGCATTCTGGAGGCGCAGGCGAGCAGCACGGGCAGGCGGTCGCTGCGGCAGGTGGGGGGCGGGTGGCTGCTGCAGGACTCGGATGACGTTGATGCTGATGACCTCACGCTCACTGTGGTCACCAAGAAGCAGCCCAGTGAAGCAGACCTGGAGAATGCACGGTTTGCGTGGCGGGTGGTGAAGCATGTGAAGAGCAACGCCATCACCATCGCCAAGGTACCCCTGCCCTCGTCCCCTACCCTCTTCCCTGTTCTCACCTTCGGCTCTCACCCGCTTGCCCTCGCCTCGCTGCTTGCCCTCGCCTCGCTGCTTGCCCTCGCCTCGCTGCTTGCCCTCGCCTCGCTGCTTGCCCTCGCCTCGCTGCTTGCCCTCGCCTCGCTGCTTGCCCTCGCCTCGCTGCTTGCCCTCGCCTCGCTGCTTGCCCTCACTTCCTTCTTTGCCGTACTGCACGTTCCTCTCTCCACCCTCTCAGCAGCTTCTTCATTAACTCACAAGCCTTCCTGCCATCCTTCCTTGCCCTGCTCTCTACTCGCCTCTTTTCCTTTCCAGGACGGGCGGCTGCTGGGCATGGGGAGCGGGCAGCCCAACAGGGTGAAGAGTGGGCAGATCGCGTTGGAGAAGGCAGGCGACGAGGCCAAGGGCGCTGCTGTCGCCAGCGATGCCTTCTTCCCCTTCGGTCAGTGCCACCACACCCGCTGGGGTGATACAGATCTCTGCCTGCGCGACTTTCTTTCTTCTCATTCTTGTTTCCCTAAAGCAACTGTTTAGCTTCATATAAGCACTCCCCCTCATGTACCTTTTCCCTCCCCTTCCGTTCCCCCCATCACTCCTCCACCACTGCTGCCCATCTACCAGCGTGGGGAGATGCAGTGGAGGCGGCGTGTGAGGCAGGTGTGTCGGTGATAATCCAGCCGGGCGGCAGTGTGAGGGATCAGGATGCCATCGACTGCTGTGACAAATACGGTGTGGCCATGGTCTTCACCAACGTGCGCCACTTCCGCCACTAGCGCCCATTCAACCCCACCACCACTGCCCGCACTTTTGCACGCGTGGTGGCTGGATTCAAGAAACAGCTGAATGAGGTGCAAGCAAGGTGAGGGCTTGACGGAACTCATGGCAGAGGGAAGGCTGTGTGGCGCGTGTGCTAGATGGTAGATTCTTGTGACCACACGCTCATGTATTGTGGAAGGCTGCCTGTCTGCTGGTTGGACAGCCTTCCAGTGTGCTTGTCTATGTCCCAAGGGAGAATTGTGCCAGTCAAGTAGGTTTGTTTTGCACAAGTATTGTAAGTTTGTTGCAAATGCAGAAGATAAGCAAACGTCATCAAAGGAGCTGATTAGAGCTGTGGTAGCTGTGCCTGCTTGACCTGAGCAATCAAAATTGTTAGCATGAAGTGGAATATATGCTGTACTTTATGAACCTCTCATAGCAATACAAATGGCATTGGGTCTTGAGGCTGTGATGGCTGTTTGTCGGGCGTCGAGTGGTGCAGGGCAGAGCAGCGGCAGAGCAGCGGCAGAGCAGTGGCAGAGCAGGGGCAGTGTATGGTGCAGGTGGGTTACACGTCAAGGTCGAGCAGCATCTCGCCGACCTTGACGGTCTGCCCCTCCTTCACGTAGATGCCGCGGATCACCCCCGCCTCCTCCGCGCGAATCACATTCCTCATCTTCATCGCCTCGATCGTCACCAGCTCGTCCCCGGGCAGCACCTGCCACCCACAGCGATGGGCATTGCAGTGCAGTGTGGGCGCAGCGCAACAAGGCATGTGTTAGAGGGAGCAGGCGGTGGGTGGGGCATAGCCATGGTGGGTGGGGTATAGTCATGGTGGGTGGGGTATAGCCATGGTGGGGTACAGCCATGGTGGGGTATAGCCATGGTGGGGTACAGCCATGGTGGGGTACAGCCATGGTGGGGTACAGCCATGGTGGGGTATAGCCATGGTGGGGTACAGCCATGGTGGGTGGACAAGAGGCGGCAGTGGCATGAGCATGGGGGATACATTTGAGAGTCAAGTTCAGAAGTGTGACATGGGGTGGCAGGGCGGCTGACCTTCTGCTTGTAGCGCACGGAGATCTTGACGACAGAGCCCGGCATGGGCGTGCGGATGAGCTGCACGCACAGAGGAGCCCACACCAAGGATGGGGTGAGATTCGGCCGACAATGATGTGATGAGTGAGGAGGGCACTGAAGCGAGGAGGTGAAAAAGAGTCGGTTGATGCAGGCAAGCAATGAGGGAACAGGTGAGAGGCAGCAGTGGGCAGTGGGGAGGGGATGGGGCCTCACATGGGCGACGTCGTCGGTCTTCTTCTTGGGCATGAACTTCTGCAGCGGTGCTAAGTCCGCTCTCTGCACCAACACCTCGTCCTGCTCGTATGCCACCCAGGGGAGCGAGAGGGGAGCGACACACGGACAGGCGTGAGAGGAATGTGAGGCAAGGAAGAGTGTGTGGGAGGTGGTCCAAGGGAGGAAGGAAAGAGGGCAGTTTTGCAAGGGACGCTCGAAGGATGGAATGGTGAGGGAAGGGTTGGGAGAACAGGAGCAGCCTGTTACCTTGATGCTGCCGTGGTAGAGCATGGAGAAGCCACGTGGCAGCTCCTGGCGGATGCACACACTGGTGTCCTTGCCGTCCAGACTCATGTGGATGAGCCCCTTGCCGCTCAGGATGGGGTCCCGCTCCTCCACCTCCATCACCTCCCCCGCCACGTCCACCTTCTGCCAACCCCCGTGCGCCCCACCACAGGTACATACACAAACAGCAGATTGTTGCCCCAACACACCCCATGCGGCCCCCACCCACACCCAATGTGCCCCACCACAGGGAAAAGCAGGAACAGCGACTGTTAGTGCAGGATGATAAGGAACGATTGGAATGTTACAACCCACATACGAGCTGCAGAATGCACATGCAAGCAGCACTACACACACACACACGAACCACCTCGCAACTCAACCAAGACTCCCTATCCCAGTTCAACTGAGCGGCAATCACAGGCACACATGCGCGGGCGAGGGCGAGAGAGAGCAGCAGCAGCACTCACGGCGCGGCGCAGAACGGGGTGTTTGTCGGAGGGCCAGTGCGTGAGAGTGACGGGCACCTGCTGGCCATCCACGGACACCACCAGCTTCTCCGTGACTGCCTTCTGTGACAGCGTTGCCGCCGCCGCTGCTGCCGTGGCGTCTGCTGCGGGGCGGTCCGAGGTGACGGTGGCAGAGGCACGCACGCCCTTGATCACGTGCAGGAAGGCTGATATGCCCGCCAGCTCGCTCTGTGGAGACGAGGCAGTGGGGGCGGGTAAGGTGGGAGGGTGGGAGTGGCAGTGGGAGTGGGGAGGGGAGGTGGGGGGAAGGTGGATAGGAGAGGGGTTGAGATGGCAAAGCAAGGATAAGGAGAGGTGGTGAGTGCGCGATTTGAGGATGATACGGCAGAAGGTGATGAGGAAACGTTGGTGTGAGTGAGACTGGCAGATCCACTGCCGTCCACGCAGGCATGGCGTGGCATTGAGTGGGCGCACCTCTTCACGGGGGGAGAGGTGGTCGTTGTAGAAGCCAGCAGGGAAGTTATCCTGAATGAAATTGGTCGTTATGTTGCCCGATGCAAACGCCTGCGAGAACGGGGAGTACGAGGAGGGAGGAGAAGATGATTCACCTCCCACTCGTTTGTGTGATTCAACAGATAGTGCGACTTGTGACAGACAGACGTGGGTGTTGTGTTGCTGGGGTGAAGTGGCGTTGAGCGGCAGCAACACTGGCCTACGATGGCCTACGATGCAGAATTGCATTCTCGTTCCCACTGGGCACAGGTGTGCCGTGCTGGCATGCGGTGTGGCATGAAGGGCAGTGGCCAAAGGAAGAGAGGGGCAAGGGCAGCGTGTGAAGGGCCAGGGCGGGCACTGACCGGGTGGGAGACGATGCAGCGCAGGAAGGGGATGTTGCTCTCTATGCCCTCGATGTAGTACCGGTCCAGGGCGAACTGCCATGGGTGGGATGCGGTGGGGTGCGGTGGAATGGGACGTGTTGGCAGGGGTGAGTGTATTGCCATGGTGGAGGCAGGGGAGAGGTAGCAAGTGGAAAGGCCGAGTCAAAGGAAGAGGGGAAGGCAGGAGCACAAGGGCCAGGAGAAGAGGGGGCAGAGCAGTGCAAAGCAAGGCAAGGCGAGGGAAAGCAGGGCACGTGTGGGCGGGGCACGTGTGGGCGGGGCACGTGTGGGCGGGGCACTGACCTCCATCTTGTCAATAGCCGCATCTCGTGTGGGCGCCCACGTGGTCACCTGCCACACCGTCGCACAGCAGCACAGCGTGTAGAGGAATTGCATGAGATCGAGGGTGGTAGTCGCAGTGAGCTTGCATGGGATTGGTTGGTATTTGCAAGGGTTTTGGATGGGAGGTGTTGGTAGTTGGAGGTACTCTGGAAGGGGGTGGTATTAGAAGGTACCTTGGACATGAGGGGGTGGTAGTAGAAGTTGATGACGTCACCCTCAGACACACCCGAGTCGATGCGCAAAATGCCCTCGTTTGAGCACTGCATGGCGGGCTCTATGTACCGTAGGATCTTGCCACTTGACCTGCATCAACGGCCAGCAATGGCGTCAGGGAGAAAAAATGGTGATGGAGAGAAGCAGCTGATAGGAATGCAGAGCAGTGGGACGGGAGGGCTAATGGGCGCTGGCAAGCAGGGATGGCGCCATGAGGAAAAGGTTGCACATGATGCAGCAGGCGCATGGGCATGGGCATGGGCATGAGCATCGGCATGGGCATGGGCACGGGCATGGGCATGGGCACGGGCATGGGCATGGGCACGGGCATGGGCATGGGAACATGGGCACGGGCATAATCAGGGGCATGGGGCGACAAGAGCCATACGGCAAAGAGAGGGGGGGCGAGCGTACGGGAGGAAGTTTTTGCAGGGGTTGTCGCTGTAGATGCGGGCACCGATGGCCCACCCTTTGGGCTCGGCTATGCAGTTTACTGAGACGATTATCGAGGCGCCTCACAAAGCGAGGAGGGGTTGGACGTACGGGAGGAAGTTTTTGCGCGGGTTGTCGCTGTAGATGCGGGCACCGATGGCCCAGCCCTTGGGCTCGGCTATGCGGTCCTGCGGCACGGCGAGCTTCTGCCCCGCTGCTGCTCGCAGCATGAGCTCCACTATGTCCACTCCCGTCACACACTCCGACGCCACGTGCCCCGCCTGCAGGAGCAGGGGGGAGAGGGGAAACGGGTTGGGAGTGGGAGAGGAGGAAGACTCAAGAGTGCCCCGCTGCTGCTCGCAGCATGAGCTCAACTATGTCCACGCCCGTCACACACTCCGATGCCACGTGCCCCGCCTGCCAGGGATGGGAAGGGGGATGGGGGAAAAGGGGGGAAGAGTTGGGGGGAAGGGGACTCAAGGGGAGGGAGGGGGGGGGGGGGGGGGTGTGAGTGGGGGTTTCCCCTACAAGTCTTCCACTTTTTGCTTCTGTTTGTCTGCTGTGGAGGTTCGGCTGTGCATTTGTGGTGTACGCAGCACACTGTTGGTGATTCGTTGGGTTGTCTCTTGGTACATGCATGACGGTGCGTGAGTGGAGAAAAAATGGAGATGAAGTCAGGTGATGGGGGAAGGCAGGGCTTGCTCACATGCAGGCGAGTGCTCATGCCTCGGAAGTAGATGTCCTTGCTCTGACTCAGTAGGAACTCCACCGTGCCTGCCACCCACGCATGCACACACAAACGCACGCACACACGCACGCACGCACGCACGCACGCACGCACGCACGCCCGCACGCACGCACGTCCGCACGCACACCCGCACACCCGCACACCCGCACACCCACACACACACACACACACACACACACACACACACACACACACACACACACACCAGTGCACGCACTATGCACGTGAATGAGGAAATGGAAGCACGCAAAGCAAGTCACATGCAGTATGGTCCGGTCCATACACTCACGCCCTCCCTGGTGCCCCCACCCACACTTGAAACACATATGCACACCTTCATGGGTTTATTGATCTGTGCTCAGAGTACAGGGGTGTGGGCGGGCACACTGACCGGTGGTGTCGTAGTTGATGGAGCGTGCCAGCGCCACGGACTGCTCCACCAGCGCCTTGCGCGTGGCGGCGTCCACAAACGTGCTCGGTGACTCGTCTATCAGCTGCTCCCCGCCCCACAGTCGGTGGCGGGTGGGTGGACGGGGAGGGGGGAGTGGGGGAACCGGGGGGGGGAGAGGGTTGGGGAAGTGGGGGGTGAGGAGGAGATAACGATGGCAACACGAACGTGGCGGACTCTGCCTAGAGGAACAATGAAGACACCAAAAGGCAAACCGGAGAAGGGCCGATGGGGAGGTGAACAAGGGAATGAGGCGGAGAGGAAGGACGGGAGAGAGGACGGGCAGGCGCGCGTACCTTTTGGTAGCGCCTCTGGATGGACGCCTCTCGCTCCGGGAACCACAGCTGCCATGCGCCAACACGATGGAGTGTGGAGGTGCATGGGGCACAGGGAGGGAGGAGAAGGCACGGATGGTTCCATTAAGACATGTTATGAAGGAGAGTGGGGGGTGTATGCGTTGTGCAGTGAAGGAAACGAGGGGAGAGGGCGTGTAGTGCGACACACTGCACGCACCATGCCGCCATGCTTGTCGGCCACGATCTGAATCTCAATCAGCCGCGCCTTCTCCAGGTAGCTGCCATCATCAACGGGCATGGACGGGCATGGGGAGAGGGCATGGCGTGAGGTAAGGCGGCAGCAGGTCAGCCTGGAAACGCCCTCGTCTGGAAAGCGCGACTCTACATGCTCGTCCAATGGCCGTCATGGCTTTCGCTTGACATTCAGGCCAGCATGCCGTGCAAGGTCATCGCACCCCCATCACACCCCCATCCCCACCGCGCAGCTCCTCTATATTCTCGTGCAGACAGCATATTCGCCCTCCCCTTCACCAACCATTCTTTTCCCCGCTTCCCAGGCTGCCGTGAGCGCTCACTGTTCGACGACGACTTGGCTGTGCGCGCCAGGCGAGACGAACGACAGGTCCTGCTGGAACTGGTCGTAGTGGTCCCGCACCTCACGCGCGTTCCTGCTCGGTCAACAGGGTCAACGTGGGTCAGGGAGCAGAGCAATGCGGTGTGAGAAAGGCAGCAGTTGCAGCAGGAGGCAGCAGAGAGTGCTGTGCTAGAAATGTGGACGCAGAGAAGCGGCGCTGTAGGAACAATGAAGATTGAGAGATGCGAGCTTACGAGGCAATGCGCAGCACGTGGGACTGGTTGCGGTCGAGGGACTTGAGCACCACTGGGAACCCCACCTTGTTGGCTGTCAGGCACGGGGGTGGCGCGCAGTGGGGGGGTTGGCGGGCAATGGGGGTGGCGGGTACAGTGCAGCGTGGAGGCACGGCAGCAGAAGGATTCACCACGTGGCATGAGGCGTCATAATCAGTGACTCCGTTCAGGATGTCAGAAGAGTGCATGAATGGGTTGAAAGGGCTGAAGGGGAGGGAGGGTAATGGGGGGGAGGGCGAGGGGGCGAGAGGGCGCACCGAGTTGGACGGCGTGGTCCTCGTCGGAGGCGACGGCATCCCCGATGGGCAGCACCTGCAGCCCCGCCGCCACCGCCGCGTGCTTGCTCGCCGTCTGCGCGGGGCGGGGGAGAGAGGGGCAAGCATGGCGCACAGGGGTTGACCATTCCAGGCCCGCGAGTGCACGCGAGGGAGAGGCTCTCATTAAGGCATTGCGCAGCGTGCGAGTGTGCTGCGCACACGCGGAGGGCGAGTGTTACCTCGACCCGTACGCTTGATAGGCCGCGATGTGGGTCCTGACCTTGTCATACGACATGTGACCCTACCTCCGTCTGTGTGCGATATGACGTAGTGTGGCGCTCACCTTGTCCTTCATGAGGCGCATGACTTCAGGCGTGGGGCCCACGAACGTGACGCCCTGCGCCTTGAGCTTCTCCGCGAACTCGGGCTTCTCCGACAGAAAGCTGTACCCCGGATGCACCTGCGCGCGCCCGCGTCGCGGTGCAGCAGGGGAGAGAGAAAATGCAGATAAGAATCCGGTTACACCACATATCTGAAAGAAAACTCCTCTCTCTGTAGAGTGTGTGCATTACGAGGCTACTGCAATTCCATGGCACATCCACGGCTACGTCGGATGATAACCGCTGCGCAGCGCATTGGAACTGGTTCGACGATACAATCTGACAGCAGCGCGGCGGTGACGGCGGCACTCACGGCGTCGGCGCCGGCCTTGATGACGGCGTCCATGACTCGCTCCACGTTGCGGTAGCTCTCGTTCGCCGGCGACGGTCCCTGCACGCCGCACACGCCACGCAACACGGGAACGAGGGATGCAAATGGTGAAGATGACGCATGCTAGCGACAGCACTCGAGAGACGAGGCTGGTGAATGCGGGGAGCGGATGCAGGACTGGATGGACAATCCGTTTCGGCGGACCATCGGCAGATACTACGCAATACTGAATAATCGACACATCTGAAATGTCTGAATTCTCTGGTCGTGAGATGTACGAGCGACGAGAGACGAGAGACGAGGGACGAGGGAGGAGGGGCGGGGACGAGGGACGAGAGGCAAGGGAAGAGGGACGCACGACGTGCACGGCCTCGTCGGCGAGGCGGACGTGGGGAGCCTCGATGTCGGTGTCGGAGTAGACGGCGACGGTGGGGATGCCCAGCTTCTTCGCCGTGCGCAGTATGCGACACGCGATCTCGCCGCGATTCGCCACCAATAGCTTGTTGAACAGCTGCCGCGTGAAACGGAGAGAAGGGAGTGGGACAAAGAGAAAGAGAGTCGCACGGAGCATTCTTGAAGGTATGATTAGAAAATGCTATACTGAAGATATCGCAATTGCTGATCCCTCGCCATCGGTGCGGCGTTTCGGGTGGGGGTGCTGTGCACAACGGACCTTATCTTCTGAGCTGTCTGAGGAGAACGGCCGGTGGATCTGGCTGAGGTAAGGGACGACTTTGGGGCTCAAGTATAGCGCAACGCGCGCATTGTCGCGATGCAGTGATGAACGCGACGACGGCGATCTAGTTGCGGTCGTCGCAAGCCTCGTAGCACAGAATCTCCACATCTTTACGAAGGAATGGCTGGTCAATATATGAAGTGGCCCGCAATCAGAAGCAAATAAAGTATTGCCTGTACGCCAGGAATTAATCGATTGACAGGGCAATGGCTCCGTCTTAGAACTGATTAATCACCGAAGTAGCCGGTAATGTCGATGGTACTGCCGCTGCCGAAAGAAGCAACGCCAGAGAAGGCCTGTAGTACGAGACACAAACTAGTCTTCTTGCCTTCTCTGAGTCAATGGTATCTCCTGTTTGTGTCTGGTGTACTCGAGAGCTCCTATTTCCCTCTCTGGCTTTCTTGCCTCGGAAGGGCAGGTATGGTTGGGTGAGTGAGGTGATGCTGTGAACAGTCTGCTACCTCAAGTCCATCTGGTTACCATTATGCAAAACCGACCTTCATTCGAGCGATGAGCAGCGACAGCTGCGACCAGCGCTCGACTCTAAACGAATGTGACCTTCTTCGCGAACCACTAACTTCCTTCTTCGCGACGGAAAGACTCCCAGGGAATTGTTTGATTTTCTTGTAGGCTGTGGCGTGGCACGGATTTGCGTGTGGCACGGGATGACCTGGCGGAATCTCTCTAATCATAGGAGGCTGTACCCGGAAATCTTGGACGAAGCAGAATCTTCCGTCGGGTGGAGGGAATGGAGTGTTCTGTTGTAAAACTGCCCATTCGAACCAGCTCTATCCCATATCCTGAATGGCATGCTGCTATATGTCCTTTTACAATGAATCAGTCATTTCCCCATCCTCCGCGTTGATATCACTACCTCTACCAATATCTCATCCGATTCAACTTGATGGACTTACGGACCTAAAAGAAGAATTTATATGACAATTGTGAGAAAAATGGTTCCTAAAAGAAGGTCGAATTCTCCTAAATGTTACGGGTGCAATGAATCGAAGTAGCGAGAATTGCACTAAGGTGTCAAACGAGTACAAAATGTGAGCGAAGGCATGAGCGAACATTTATACGTGAAACATGCAAACGGTAACGCGGTGCGTGCGAGCTAGCTAGTGCTATGCTGGCAGCGAGGTTCAGGCTAGTCCTGAAGCGTAGGCCGACACGGCCGGGCCAGCAGTGCGAGGTTTGGCAAAACAGTGCGCGCGAAGTTGGTGAAGCCCCGTTAGCAGTAACGGGCGAACAATGGCTGTTGCTGTACGCGATGTAGCCGGACTCCATAAGGAATGCCGAGAAAATTCCTTACACTACCTTGTCAAATGTTGTAGCCTGTAGTGAGGTTTGTCTTAGGGGGTACAGAAGTTAGGGTTTGTCATATGTACCCCAACCAACATCAATGGAAACACCATTCCTCATTCTGACATGGTATCAGCTAGGTTAGGATCCTGTGGGATCCCGTTCCTCCGTTCTCCGTTCGTACCTCCCGAGCCTGATCCTACCTCTCGTTCGTACCAGTTCCGTTGTTACCGAGCCTAGCGCCCTTTCCCCCGTCGCTTAGCGCCCTTTCTCCCCGTCGCCTAGCGCCCCCCCCCCCCCCCCCCCCCCCCGTCGCGTCGCGCCCTTTCCCCCCCCCCCGTCACGCCCTTTCCCCCCGTCGCGTCGCGCCCGTTCCCCCCGTCGCGTCGTGCCCGCCTGTTCCCCCCCCGTCCCGTCGCCCTGTCCCGTCGCGTCGCCCTACCCCGTCCCGTCGCCCTGTCCCGTCCCGTCGCCCTGTCCCGTCGCGTCGCCCTACCCCGTCGCGTCGCCCTGCCCCGTCCCGTCGCCCTGCCCCGTCGCGTCGCCCTGTCCCGTCGCGTCGCCCTGCCCCGTCGCGTCGCTCCCGCCCTTTCCCCCGTCGCGTCGCCCTGCCCTACGCCCTGGCCCGTCGCCCTGCCCTAAGCCCTGGCCCGTCGCCCTACCCTAGGCCATGGCCCGTCGCCCTCCCTAAGTCCTGGCCCGTCGCCCTACCCTAGGCCCTGGCCCGTCGCCCTACCCTAGGCCCTGGCCCATCGACCTACCCTAGGCCCTGGCCCGTTGCCCTACCCTACGTACTGGCCCGTCGCTCTAGCCCGCTCTTCCGCTGCGACTGAGTCCTCTTCCCCCCCGGTTGTTACTCGCCTGTTCGTTCGCTTTAGTCCTCACTATGGCGACTCCGCGAGTTCTTCGTTTCGACGCTGACGGTAGACCCCTTGACTTTTCCGTCTGGCTTCTTCGCGCTCGCCGTCTGTTAGAGAGTCAGGTCCAGGGGGGCGAGACCCTCTGGTCACACGCTACTGGTGACCTCCCTGAGCCCCCCGAGCCTACAGCTTTAGGCCCTGCTCCTGACGACGCTGCTACGGCTCGCTTTGCCCGTCAGCGCGCTGACCGGACGGCTTGGACGTCGCGTGACGCTGCGGCCTGCATCGCACTCAGCAGCCTCCTCCCTGAGTCCGAGGAGGTCCACTTTACTCAGGTTCGCACCGCTGCTGCGTACCTCACTGCGATTAAGGCCCGCTACTCTACTCCCGCTACTGTCTCTCTTGGCCGTCTTTTCCTCCCATTCCTGTTTCCTGATCTTGCCTCGTTTGAGCGCTCTGCTGACTTGATCGCTCACCTCCGCTCGCTCGACGCTAGTTACCGCGCTGCTTGCACTGAGGCACAGCTTACACTGCTTCCTCCCCCCATGGCGATCACTGTCTATTTCATCGCCACTAGCCTCCCTGACCGCCTTGCCTCCGTTCGTGACGCGCTTCTGCTGAAGCACCCTAGTGAGCTGACTATCGAGGTCCTTGAGTCTGCACTCAAGGACGTCGAGAGCAACCTTCGTTCGGTAGCTGCCGCCTCTGGTACTGTGTCCCCCCCACTCTTCCACGGGTGCACAGTCCCGCAGTTACCCACCTTCACTGCCTCTCTTACCACTGCCGCTACTAACGCGACTGCGGCTGCTGTTACGACTGCGTCGCGGTCCCGCGGCAGGGGGGGCAAGAAAGGTGGTTCTGGTGGAGGTGGAGGCGGAGGTAGCGGAGGTAGTGGGGGTGCTGTTGCGACTGGGGGTGGTGGGAGTGCAGCGTCTGGAGAGACCCCTCGTGCAGCGGCTGGTGACTCCACTGCACCTGCTGGTGGCGGCGACCCCCGAGCTCGTCAGTCGCCTCCTGTACTGCCGGCCCCGCTAGGTGGAGCAGCGGCGTGGTACCAGGCTCAGCGTCAGCAGCACCTTCAGCAGCAGCAGCAGCCCCTTTCCTCCCAGCAGCCTCAGCAGCAGCAGCGTCAGCAGCTGGCTCCGGGGTCGGGGCTGCGTCAGCCCCAGCGCGGTGCGGCTTACCCTCCCTGCCCCTACCAGGTTCAGACAGGTCCTCGTCGGGGCCACCCTTGTGGCCGCTTTCACCCCCCTGGTCAGTGCTTTGCTCAGCTTACTGACACGGTCCGGTTGACCTACGGGGTTGGCGGTCCTGCTCCTGACTGGCTTCCTCTGGTTCAGCGCTACGGCTCCGCTCTGTGGGGCATGTCTGCTGAGCAGTTAGTTGATCTGATTAGTGCTCGTCATGCTATGTATCCTGTTGTTGACTCTAGTGTTTCTGACTCTGTTTACTCTGGTGTTGTTAGCTTAGGTGCTAGTCTTGCTCAGTTGCCTGTTGCTAGTGTAGGTACTTGTGTAGACTCTAGACCAGTGACTACCTCAGGGGACGCTTCGCTGTCGTTCACACTGGACTCTGGAGCCTCCCACTGCTTCTTCCGGGACAGCACGACACTTACACCACTTCCTGCGCCTGTTTCTGTAGCGTTGGCTGATCCCACTACGGGACCAGTCACTGCCCGTCACACTACCACTTTACCGTGTCCTGCTGCTCCCTCCGGGTCTCTCACTGGGTTTCACGTCCCCTCGTTCTCCCGGAACTTGGTGGGCGTGCGACCCCTCGTGAGTCAGCACGTGGGTGTGTGGTTTGAGCCTTCTGGAGAGACTGCGGTGTGTGTTGACGGAGACTCTTACCAACCTCTTGCTACCTTTACTGCTGAGCCGGGCTCGGGTCTCTACACTCTTCACACTGACCCGCGTGCGCCGCAGCAGCAGCCGCAGCAGCAGCAGCAGCCGCAACCGCAGCAGCAGCAGCAGCAGCAGCAGCACCAGCGGCCGCACCAGCAGCCCCCCCTACTGCCACTGCCCCCGGTTCCCCCCCCCGTTCGGGTCCCCGTGTCTCACCAGGTTGCTTCGTCCCCCCAGGTGTCTGTGTCGTGTCAGGTTCCTACGTCTGTTCCAGTCGCTGCGTCGTGCTCCTGCCGGTCGCTTGCCCACCCCACCGTTCTGTGGCACCACCGGATGGGGCACCCGTCCCTTCCCCGTCTGCGCGCTATGTCTAGTCAGCGTCTTGTCCTAGGCCTCCCACGTGTCTTGCCGTCGCTGCCGCCTTCGCTTGCGCCGTCGTGTCGTCCCTGCGTCGAGGGTAGGCTGCGCGCCACCCCTCACTCCTCCTCCCTTCGTCCGGCCACCGAGCCTTTTGAGACGCTTCACTTGGACGTCTGGGGCCCCGCCCCTCGTCTAGGCCCTGAGCGTGAGCGTTACTTTCTGGTGGTCGTTGACGACTTCTCCCGCTACACCACAGTGTTCCCACTGGCGAAGAAGTCTGAGGTGAATTCTACGCTGATCAGGTGGTTGCTCACCACCGAGGACACTCGTGGTCGTCGTGTCAGCTGTCTCCACTCCGACCGTGGGGGTGAGTTTCGCTCCGGCATTCTCGCTGGATTCTGTCGCGAGCAGGGCATTCGTCAGTCCTGGACGCTTCCAGAGTCCCCACAGCAGAATGGGGTTGCTGAGC